TGCTGGTGGTGACACCCCCTGGGTAGAAGCTCACTCAGAGTCAGCTTTGACCAGGCTCTCCTCGCCCTCACCCTGCACACCAGCTGCTAAGCCCACTCCCTGTCCACCCCCAGCAGGCCTCGCGTCCCATCTCTCCTCCTTGCTTGTCCCGAGCTTATGTCCTGTGGGCATTGGTGAGGGGCTGTGGGGCAGTGTCTTTCCTGGTCTGCCTGCTCCAAACCCCCACCCTCTGTCTTTCCGAGCACACTTTCCTCCATTCGGCCCTGTCTGTCGGGACACACACTGAGCACCGGCGGGATTGCCCTGGTGTCTGCAGGCCGGGCCAATGTCTTGTTCCAGTGCCTGTGTTTCTCTGCGATCTGGGTCCAATCTACATCTCCTGCTGGTTCCACTCATCCCTGGCCTGTACCCGCCGAGCTGGCTGGTCACTGTCATGGTCTCCAACAGGGTTCAAAGGTGTCCTGGCAGGACAGTGGTGAAGCATCGAATTGCTAACCACAAGGTCAGTGGTTTGAAGCCACCAGACGCCCTGTGGGGGAGAGCTGCAGCAGCCTTCTCCCACAAAGAGTCCCGGTCTCGGACACCCACCGGGGCTGTCCTGACACCCAACGGGGCTGTCCTGTCGTGTGAGGTGGAGCAGGTGTCCAGTGAGTCTGGAATGCCAAGATTTCTCCCCCTTTGTAAGGCCTTTCTGCCAGCCCCCAAGGTCTAATTTCCACTTCTGTGTTTCAAGGCCTAGCTCACAGGTCACCTTCTCTGTACAGTCTTCCTCGATGTCCCTAGCTGGAGGCCCTCTGACCTCTACCAGAACTGACCCCACTTGCTACTGCTCGCCTTGTCCGGTTGCTACTGGTGCTTGCTTTCCCCCACTCCCACCCTGCAGGCTTCTTGGGCAAAGACCTCCTGGGTCACCCCACCATCTTGTAGGGTGCTTAGTAGCCAGTGAGGGCCACGTAAATGTGGACTGGGTGAATTCCAGCCCTCCTCCCCAGCCCCACGTAACTGCTCCTCCTTTCACC